GAAAGGGCAATCTGTGAGCTTTAGCAGCTAAGTAGATAGTTGAAGTTTGGAATCATTCCGTAGTGTCTTGTCTGACTTCATCTATCACGTGTCCCAATTTCCCATTGAATGTCGTGATAGCTGATATGAGTTGTGACATTATCAACTTCTTGGTTTGGTTAGAGACAGCTCTGTTGCAGATCTGGGCTAAAAGTTGTTGACACTTTTGCCATAGAAGTTGTGAAGACATCCAGATTTGTGAGGAGAGCAAGTCTTCTTGCATCCTGACTATAGTATCTAGAAGGCTATGGATGAGTCCGACTTGATCAGTGGTAATAGTCATAGGCGTGTCACCGGATTTGCCTTCATAGAATGGCTGTAATGGTGGAATGATGTGTCTGATTCCGGCGACAAACCAATTAATGTAAGTGCCAATATCTATTGAGTATTTGGATACTGATATCAGATCCTTAATCTGTGAAGGAGGTAACGTGATGCTTGTGTTGGGGTTGTGTACCGACTTGTTGGAAGTCTTCGTCCATACTTGGGGATTCCAGAGGTGGATCCCTGTGCGTCCTATATAACTTCCGTTTCATTGGAGGTTAAGGAAGTCGTTCATCATGCTTGAGCTTGAATAGACTATCAGACAACTGGTATACTACCTTGCCTGCATAGTTAGGCTAACGTAATGTCTGATGAATGTGTTAAGACAATTTAGGAGCATGACATATTCCGGCACCTGGGGTGGCGAATTCTCTGTCACAGGAGGTTGGAGTACAGGCATGAGATGGTATAATTCTTCTATTAATTCTACGAAGGTGTAACCCTCCGTGTAGTACCGCTGGGGTGAGTCGGCAGCCTGATCTTCAAAGCACTCCATTTCCGCCTTGACCTTGGGTAGCTCCCATGGGGGATGGATAATCATAGTAATCGTCATGCTTTGGTGTTCTTGATTCCGGTATAATTAACCTCCATGCAGCTTGCAATGGTCTGTGTGTAACGGTAGCCGTGCGGTGGCTATCCTCTCGGTCGGCTGACCGGTTGGTTGAACGGTTGGCTGGACCATCCCGTGTAGTGTGGCTGGATGGTCGGCATGGAGTCCATGGTGTAGCTGTATGGTGTCCTAACAGTCAGCTGGCCCATAGAGTCCATGTGACGACCATATGGTGTCTAAATGGCTGACTGCCTGGATTGCTTGTCGGTCGGCTGGGTTGCCATGAACTACTGTACTACTTGTGCGGCTCCTGTACGGTATTGTCTCATGGTAGAGCAAAGCCTTCTGGCTTATACCTGGCTGGTCCGATGGCTGGTCAGCTGGCTGGCCTATGGCTCAGCTTGCTGGTCGTTTGGGTTGGTTGGTTGGTTGTTTAACGCCACACTCAGCAATATTCCAGCTATATGACGGCGGTCTGTAAATAATCGAGTCTGGACCAGACAATCCAGTGATTGAAATCATGAGCATCGATCCACGCAATTGGGATCGATGACATGCATCAACCAAGTCAGCGAGCCTGACTACCCGATCCCGTTAGTCGCCTTTTACGACAAGCATAGTCACCTTTTATGGCAAGTATGGGTTGCTGAAGACCTATTCTCTGGTCTCGGAACCGGGGAATTCGTCTTAGCCAGAGCTGTCTCCTTGATTCTCACTATTTCTTCATCCAGGGTTGAGAGCTACATCTCAAACATGCTCTTCATCATCTCCTGCTGTTCTTTAAACAGTTGATGAACCAGAGAGCAGGAGATGATGGATCAGATGGAGCGGCAGACGCTGGTGCGGAAGCTGATTTCTCGGCTGTGCTGTTTTCCGCCCTCTTCTTGGCGGCCTCGCCCCTCTTAGCCTTGGTCAGTGCCTCGGCTATCTTAGTGAAGATCTTCTTCGAAGTGTTGGTGCACTTCTCACATTTTAGAGACAGCATCCTAACCTCACAAACACCAAGCACCTGCTTTACAGTAATTATTTATATGTACTTATTGTCTGCTGTTATAGAAAACTATCAGAAAAATCTTAGATTAATGTGACTTACTACCAAGTGCTAGATCGTTTCTACTATTACAATAAGTGTTTACTCTAGCACACAGAGAAAAAAGTGAGGTTGCCACCATTGTTACGTCATAGCTTGGGTAGCTACAACACTACTTTGCGATAACTAGTTGTGTGTGTCATTGACAGTGAAGAGGATGTCTGTTGAAAATCTGAAAAGTTTAGTCAGTGTGACTAGAGCCAAAATACAGGATTTATGGCAGAGATATAATAGAGGTAGAGGTTTCGTAAGAACTATGATACTTCTCTCTATCAATATCAAGTTTAATGTATTTCTGACTGAAACACAACTATACTGCCCAATGTCGAAGTATATACTGTAAACAGGGAATTTTTTGCGACCGTTTTATTATTGCGAGTTTTGCGAACGAGACTCAATCGCAAAAATTAAAAACGCAAAAATAAGTATAAACAAGTATTTGTCACAGAAGTGACGAAATGTCCCCCGCCTGTATATACACCAAAATACCAAATATGAAGACAATCCAGCGATTAGTTCTTGAGATATCACGGCAACACCGTTTTCCAACTCCAAAAGCAGATTTGCCTGCTGTGACCTTGAAAAATAGGGTCAAGGTCACCAAAACCGACTGGTGTCTGCGGTGTCTGTATATACACCATAGTTCCAAATATTAAGACAATCCTGCGATTAGTTCTTGAGATATCACGGCAACACCGTTTTCCAACTCCAAAAGCAGATTTACCTGCTGTGACCTTGAAAATGGGGTCAAGGTCACCAAAACCGACTGGTGTCTGCGGAGTCTGTATATACACCATAGTTCCAAATATGAAAACAATCCAGTGTTTAGTTCTTGAGATATCGCGGCAACTCTGTTTTCAAACTCCAAAAGCAGATTTGCCTGCTGTGACCTTGAAAATGGGGTCAAGGTCACCAAAACCGACTGGTGTCTGCGGTGTCTGTATATACACCATAGTTCCAAACATGAAGACAATCCTGCGATTAGTTCTTGAGATATCGCGGCAACACCGTTTTCCAACTCCAAAAGCAGATTTACCTGCTGTGACCTTGAAAATGGGCTCAAGGTCACCAAAACCGACTGGTGTCTGCAGAGTCTGTATATACACCATAGTTCCAAATATGAAGACAATCCAGTGTTTAGTTCTTGAGATATCGCGGCAACAAACAGGTGGGACGTACGGACGCACGTACGGACGTACGTACGGATGGTCGTGAATACTATATCCCCCGCTTCGCGCTTTCGCGCGGCGGGGGATAATAATACATACATACTTTATTCATTGCAACACGTCATCAAATGTTGAAATCATCAACCAGAACCACAAGTTACTCAATAAGTTAAAAACACAAATGAATGCAGAATGGTCACACAATACATCACAAATGACAGTGTAAACAGACCAATCAGTGTCACTGTTACCTCACAGTAATCCTGCCTTCTTCCAACCTCGCTTGATTGCGTCAGTGTCCTTTCCAATTTTGTCCACAATTTTGTTTGCATTCAAACTCACAGTCATGACACTGAGTTTAGTCAATTATCGTATTTGATAATTGGTCGCAATCCCTTCCGGTCAACTTTCCGGCCAACTCAGATTAACTAGCTTCGGAGAGAAGCTGTCTATTGTTTGGTAATCGAGAGGTCATCTCAACACGGCAACACGAAAAACGCAAAAATATCTCGTCGCAGTATTGTCTTTGGTGTGGTATTCGCAATATTTTAACGGCGCAGAAAAAAAGCTGTTTACAGTATGCGGTTTTATTATAGTCATAATTTTAATAGTAAGTTTGCTTGTGATTGGTATGTCACGAGTAATGACTACCGTATATGACCGCGTATAAGCAGAATTTTGAGAAGCAGAATTTTGAGGACCAGAAAAAAGATTCTGTAGAAAGGGGTCGGCTTATCCACGGGATATACTTTCATGATAGTATTTTTCAGATCGTGGTCCAACAGAAACATCGCCTGAATGACGGTCCGATAGATTACAACCCGAAAGTTTGGAATAAAGTTAAAATTATCAATAAAGTTATTATTATACACCAATGTTGTCATTATTAAAAAAATGTTATGCATATTACTACTTACGATAATAAGTTTTCAATTGAATGTTCAAAGTTTATCGTTCTTCATAAACTCCACAATCTTTACATTTAACAATATAATTCACAGATGAAATCGCCATAGCTATTACCGGTACGTACGTTTTGCAAAAATAAAAAAATTGATAGTGAACAAGTATCTACCTTTATTGAAAGGGGCAAATAAACAACTGTAACGGTGAGTTATTCCGTTCGCCATTTGAAAAAACATGTGATCAGCTGTTTCCTGTGACGTCACAGACGGTGACCACTGTGATTGCTTCCTGTTGTTTAAAAAGCAACACGGTACACAAGGAAATGAGCACTGATAATAACGGGCCGATTGGTATTGTTATGTTGTTTACACAAACACTTTCAAGTTGTGGGTGCTTAGCAATCGTGTTGGGAGTAGGGGCTTAATTCTTTTGTTTTCGAGAGATTAGTTTAATAAACTTGAGAAGCCTTCGACATCGGCGCAGTCCGACTTCGCAGTGTTTTTTGCCTTTCGCTTCCTGGTTCGGCTTATCTGCAGGTCATATCATTTTCTTTCGTATTTCAATGGTCAAGTTAACACCTCGGCATATCTACGGGGTCGGCTTATCCGCGGTCATAAACGGTATGACCTGCATAGGATCATTAAATTTGAAAGACAAATACAACTGTTTTAACATGTTTCCGATAGCAGGGTGTATTACATATATGTCATTAAATACCTAATGGAGAGGAACAGGTATTCTAAAACACTTTTGTATTGCAAGCTATGATTTTGCCACTTTTTGATGCCATTTTCTGAGATACTTTCAAGGTACTTTGGTAATATTATTGCATCATTTCCAAGTCATCTTTGCAACAAGTTATCATGAAAAGTAGTGTTTATATCTTGGATGCATGTGGATCACTTTTTGATAATATACTCACATGAAAATGCATCAGGCTAAGTTCTGTCTTGCCATCCTCTGCCTGATGGTACTTGTTGGCAAGTGTCTCAGTCTCAGCAACCCACTAAATACAAACAGTTTGTAGATTTAGAATACATCAACATGCTGATAATTTTGTCACAGTCATAGTTAATACACTTGGGAATTGATGCAGAAGAAAGACCAGTATATTGTGGAGAAATATGAAAAATAACATGTGGGGATGTCTGACAAAAACAACAATCAGGAGATGACACAATTCATTACTGCATACTTCAAGGTGAAAAGTTAACCCCAAGGATCCCTGAAAGAAAGATTATTCATTCGAAGATATTTATTGTAAGAAATGATGAATTGAAAAAAAAACATACATAAAACAATGGACAATTCAACAGAAATCGAGCTTTCTAAAACAATTTGACTTCATTTTGGAAATATCCATCTCAGCAAAAGCAAACTGCCACAGAACAAAAATATTCCCAACTACAACATTTTGGGTGTAGATGCCATAGTGATCAGAAACAACATGACTTAGCAATATCAGAAACAATATAATAGAGACAGCTGTTTATTTTGGCATTGAGATCTCCATCAATGTTTTTGTTTTTGAGATACTTAAAATTAAATGATTCACTAGCTCCTACCGAGAATTTAGAAGTCTCAACCTTGATTGGAAAGTTCACCTGATGCAACCTCTTATGAAGGTGTTCTCACATCTTCATGCAGACAGATAGTGTATTGGAGTAAAGAACAGCAAACTTTATTGAGATTGTCATTTAATCAGAAACGATACACAGATGATGTTTCTCTTTATATCTAATCTCTTGTTCAATAAATGGTCTCATATTCCACTCATAAAAGAATGTACTGTTTTTACTCACTGTATTCAACGGAATAAGCGCCCAGGGGCTCTAAAATTTAGAAATAGGGGGAGTTAAAAAATAAATAAATTTCGTGGTTTATGCTGACAGCCTGAAATGTTTATATACGACAGATATATTTTTCCAGAATTTAACTGCCCATAATTAAGGGTGCATATAACCCAAGAGTGCGTATTATGCACGAATAAATAAGTCTTGCGTACATTGATCAATCGGGAGGGGTGCTAATTGGGATTGTTCACTAGCCAATACCGGTATATAAGCAAATATTGCCTTGGGCGCTTATTAGAGCAGGGCGCTTCTTATGTTGAATATGGTATGTATGTTCTTGTAATAACAAGAGTCATCAGGAGATGACATATCGCTAGCAGATTTATTAGGCTCTGATTTCATGAGCTGTAAGGAGACCTAATTTTGGAGTAGAAAGTTCTCTGTGGCATAAGTTCCTGTAATTATGATTTTGCTTTTGTAATGTACTTTTCAGACGCAGTCTTACAAGATATGAAAGGCTGTTTTCTGTGTATTCTGTGAGGCTCTGTTGCTGCCAGATAAAACCTGAGTGCTTGCACTGGGTAGGGATAGGAGTCAATCAGGATGGCCCACATTTTGCTCAGAGCAGGTATGGAACAATGTTTATCTCAATGTAGTCCAAGAGTCGCCAACTGGTTCACGGCTACAAAATCGGGGAGAGATCTTATAGACAGAGACTCCGGTGGAGTGAGTGTTCATATAGTTCAAGCAGAGCAGAGAATATCACTGATAACTTCTTCTTCAGGAAGATACATTGTTGAGGCAAGTAGCAAATAAGTCTAACTGAAAATAAGTCTAACAGGAGACTACCGGTAATCACAATGTTATTTACAAGAACAATCAATGAACAATTTACAATATCTTAGAATATAGCTGCTAATACCGCTGAGAGTTGGTACAACCCTCTGGGCTGTGGGAGAGAGATCTGCTTGGTATGAGCGTCAACCCCTTCTGCTTAACATTTTGCTTCTGTATGTATTTAACAGAAATTAGGACAACAAGAGGCCCATAGGGCCTGTATCTCTCACCTGGATACTGACGCAATCATGACAAAATATACATTTGCATTGAACATGTATATAATACTGCAAATATTTAGATGGCAAATCTGCCAGCATCAACATGTATTTCTCTAGCTACAAATGTAGCATAAAGATCTGAACCGTTTCCATGTTATGATCCAGGGTCTAAGTTTCCAGAGGCAAGGCTGGATCCCAGGGCGAATCCTAATGGCATAAGTGTATTATTCTCTTCATAAAAAACAAATGTATACAATGTATCTGTTTATTACAGGGTGGGGATAATATCGGTTTGCATTTTATGGTCAAGGTTCTAACTCATTTGGGAGTGCCACAGAGATGAACAGAAGGGCCAGTCCCAGTAGCATATGTGCATATGGTTATACAGGGGGGATCTTCACTGTGTCCACCTAGGGATGCTTTCAACCAAATATGGTTGATATCTATCTCTTAGTTCCAGAGAAGAAGTTGTTTAAAGCAACATAGCCAAATTACCCCTACTTGGCCCCCCCCCCCCCCTCAGCCCCTTGGGGTGTCAGCCTCACCATTTGTACAATTGTGAATCCCCAACACCTAGGGATACTTCCATTCAAATTTTGTTAATTTCCAATTAGTGGTTCAGAAGAAAAAATTGTTGACGTACAGACGATGGACAGGCGACGGACGCCACGGTATGGCATAAGATCACCTTGGTCCTTAGGACCCGGTGGGCTAATAATCAGGTCTGGACCAGACAATCCAGTGATTAATATCATGAGCATCAATCAACGCAATTGGGATTGATGACATGCATCAACCAAGTCAGTGACCCTGACCAACCCGATTCTGTTAGTCGGCTCTTACGAGAAGCATAGTTGCTTTTTACAGCAAGCATGGATTGCTGAAGGCCTATTCTACCCCAGATCGTCACGGATCGGATTTGGTAATGAGTTTCTGACAATATTGAAGCAGTTGCATTGACGCTTTAGTACAGAACATAGGCGATAATTATCTTATGTATGACAATAACACGATAGATAGAGTTCCCAGCCAAAACCTAAATTTTGACATTTAAATTTCTCATACATTCTGAAGTGAAGACGAAATATTGTTATTTCCTGTATTGGCGGCCATCTTTGTTGTTTCCTTAACAGGATGGGGGATGGGATCACATTTACTAAATTTTCATACATTATATTATACCTACATTAATTGTGGATTCTTTCTGTAAGTTCCTAAAGCATTCAGGTAGATTTTGAGATATCACAAAACATGATTGTAAATGTGGGGGTTATATTATATTTAGTTTTGGAATAATTTGAAAATGAAAATTGTGTGATTTTTTCCTGTTTTTGACACATTTTGGCCCATAACTCGACTTAAACAATTTTGCTACATGTTTATTTGTTCTATTGTAGGTTTCCCAAATCAGTACACTGATTTTGTTTTTAAAATGAGCATTGCAATATGCAAACTGACTTGTTTAGAGCCATTTATTTGATTTCCTTTATTTTGACACACAAATGTGCATTTTACCACCAAAAGACATGTTTGCTACCAAAAGAAATCACCACAACCATATTTTTCTAATGCATAAATGACATCTTGTGAAGAAAAATGAATGTTTTGTTCTACTGTGGGGAGGGGTTACTCCTTAAATAAGCCTCTATTTAAGGGTTGGCCGCTTCTCTATTAGCAAACATAGAAAAGAAGTGAGGTCTTCCCATCTGGTCCCATCTGGTGCATATGCAAAAGACTTGGGACGGGAGGTACTGTTATTGTCACAACTGATTATGGATAGTTGACAATGAAGAGGTCAACTGTTGCAAAGCTGGAGAATTTTTTGAGTGATGACAGCCAAAATATAGGATTTGTGGCAATGATGTAATCGTGGCTCTGTATTTGTAGGAATATTATATGTTAGACTGAGCTGTACTGTTAACTACACTAAATTTCAATATATTTTGAAAAACAATCTCTCGTGTTGTTTTCTGTATGGCCATTGTAGCCATTTTGTATAATGGATTCAAACTTCTGGAACAAATTCAGGTGTCAACATTGGTGGAAACAAACATGTGAAGTTTCAGGTTTATTGGTCCAATGGTTTCTGAGGAAATGTTTGCAGATGCCAACACTGGCACCAACATTACTCAGAGAATGTATGATGATATAATGTATACCACATACTTTGGTACTTATTATTGTTCATAAAATCACTTTGTTTACAGATATATCAACAGAAACTTCTACAAATATATGAATCAATATGATTTTCAAATGTAGATCAATAATGGAAGCCTTGGACTCAACATTAAATTCATTTTAATATAATATCCTTTTTGTCTTTATTTTGGAGAACATACACCCATAAGACAGTAAAACAGGTATATTGGTAATAATTTCACAACAACTCACATAGAAAGGGCTGGTACATTAGCCCAAAGACATTTTCAACATGATGACCATGTTTAGAATGACTTTGAAACTGAGTAGAAATTAGAGATGCACTTTCTGGGATCATCCATTCAAAGATAGATTCATATAAACCTTGTGGTTTCAGAAAAGATTTTCAAAATGCAAAATTTACAATAAATGAACAGATAAGCAATGGCAAACGGATAATGAAACAAACACTTTCCAAATACATAACTGTTAACATGTCACTGAGATGGTTACACATACAAACTCCATGCATTCTCACCTGTGGGTTTCCATGTTTCCTAATGTCCATCTGAGCAAAGGAGCAGACATCACCAACCCCAACTACCTCTACTGTGAAGTTCCGGAAAAAATCAACAATTTCCAGTGCCTTTTTCCTCAGACAGAAGCAAAGTATGAATGGTGTAATGATGGGGCTCAGGAGTTCTTCCACAAGGTATACCTGTAAAATAGTGCATGTACACATCAGTTGTGAACTTGACATATAACACAAACATGATACAAGTATTTGTCACAAAGTGACGAAATGTCCCCCGCCTGTATATATACCATAGTACCAAATATAAAGACAATCAAGCGATTAGTTCTTGAGATATTGCGGCAACACCGTTTTCCAACTCCAAAAGCAGATTTGCCTGCTGTGACCTTGAAAATGGGGTCAAGTCACCAAAACTGACTGGTGTCTGCGGTGTCTGTATATACACCATAGTTCCAAATATGAAGACAATCCAGCGATTAGTTCTTGAGATATCGCGGCAACACCGTTTTCCAACTCCAAAAGCAGATTTGCCTGCTGTGACCTTGAAAATGGGGTCGAGGTCACCAAAACCGACTGGTGTCTGCGGAGTCTGTATATACACCATAGTTCCAAATATTAAGACAATCCAGTGTTTAGTACTTGAGATATTGCGGCAACAAACAGGTGGGACGTACGGACGGTCGTGAATACTATGTCCCCCGCTTCGCGCATTCGCTGATTTAGTTGATTTAGTTATTTGAAGTTTTATATTCACTAATTGGAAGATGCTTTGACCTTTCAGTAATGAATAAGACATTTCCTGTGGTTTAACCATGTTTCATGTGACCTCTAGTAACAGTGACTTTCCCTAACACTTATGTGAAAGAGATTCCATGTAAGAGATCATTTATATAAAGATCTTGTGAGCACAAGCCTTTTTGGATGCCTTTACATGTGTAAGGATGTGCTTAAGTTGATATTTGTCAGTGAACACTATTTTATGGTTGATGCTTTTAACATGCAAAGAAAGAGAGCCACAAAATGGTATACCATAGCTGACATGGATATGTTGTCAACAGTTTATGTCAACCAAAACATCCACTTTAAAGTTGTTGTCAGTATTGCTACTTGAATAACTTCTGCATGAATGCTGAGGATCAAAAGGCGAACTACTTTTTACAATATATAATGTCATAAATATATGTGAAAGTTCTGCTTTCACAGTCTGGTAAAAGTTCGGAAGAAAAGATATTTACAGAGCATTTGGAATCTAGACTACAACTGTTGCCAGCGATGAATTCATCATAACAGACCTGGGTTGTGACAAAACAACACTGATCTCTGTTTGTATCTGTTACAAAGGTCAACCTGGAGCACCTGTTTGATGTGCATGTCATCTTTGCTGATGGAGCTTTCTAATCCTCACTTTTCTGCTTGGGCAGCTTTACAGCATGCATGCTGAAGTATAGAGCCACATGTTTCCCCATGTCTATACTGCCTCCTGCCCCACAAGAGTGAAGCAACCTCAACAAGAGCTCTCCAGCTTTTCAACAACAGAGCAGAGGGACACAACTTTAATCTCAAACTAAACATGTCAAAAACTGACTTTGAAAAGGCTGCCCTTACTGCAGATCATGGTTTTATTCAATTCTGCTTAGGCACTGTGGAAAAGAATCAAGAACTTAGGACTCAATGTACAAAGAAGATGACAAATTACGACAACTGGCAAAGCGTAGCAAGGCCCTTCCCATTGTACCACTTGTGGAAGAAGTGGACACCATTGCAGAAAGTTCACAGGGAGAAAAAGTTGTCAAGTACATGGACCACTTTTAATCTTGAAATTAATGCAAGTGAATATAATGAGTTAAAATGCGAGGGTTTAGCTCACATTAATTATACTTCGCACTTAAGTCTATAATTGACTGTTAAAAAGAGGGATTCCATCTTCTAATAGTTGTCTCAAATCCTAAAAGGAAATAACTTGTATTGAACCTCAAGAGGACTTGATAATCAAATATGTCATAACTTCACTAGATTAACCGTTATATTTGCTGATACTCATAATTGTGACTTCATCAGATGTTCTAAAATTATCTAGCAGACTGTCATTTCCGCTTCCGACGTCACTACCGGTCAATATGTCATTTCCAGTTCTGACGGGATTAGTGTCATCAGTATCTCTTTTGATTATGTATTATCATTTCAGGTTACCTATGAGGTAATTCCAGTTCTTTCAGTCTGTGAAGGGAATGCCTACACGTGTAGGCCTGTCCAATCCATTGATAATAGTAGCATAGGTAATGATGGTTCTGCCGCCACCCTACTGGAGCCAGATTTATACACCTATACCACCACTACAGATGGATTTTTTTATGTCAAAATCATGATGCGATTCAAAATAATCTCTATTATTTTTACACATACATATACCATTATTTTGAACAAAGAGATATTCAACCTTTTTACTAAGTTCTTTGTTCATTTTACTAGGAGACCAGACTATATACTCTTTTTCTAAATTGGAAAGAAACAACTGATGACCGAATTTGGTTGGTTTGACATCATTGATATAATATATACCCTGTGGTAATTCTCGCCATTTGTATGGCTCCATTATTATATACTTATGTAAGCAATCGTTTAAATGTGATCCAACAATAGTAAGCAATCTATTTTTAATCTCCAACCAGTTCTTTGGTTTTGGCACGGAATAATTGACGCGCTTGTTGTCTCCCCTGTTCTATGAACTTTTTTTTCACGTCTTCGCTAATACCATTGGTCTTACGATAATTGGATCGAATCTCCTGCTTCATTACGTTGTATTTTGTGAGTTCTGACAGCACTAAACGAAACTCCTCCTCGGATATCTTACAATCAGCCATTGCTGTTGAAATATGGTCCTCAATGCTGTTCAACTTTGCTTCGGCGAGTATCCGAATATTATCATGTTTTAATGCTTTCTTTTGCAACCTACGAAAAATAAATTTTATCGCTATTCCTGCCAGTCCTGAGACTCTGGCAGCTATTTCCATGCCAAGTCCGATAGGCGATTATAGTTGATAATAAACCAACACCGGCTACACCGAGTCCCATACCAGCTGTTACAAGCGCAGTGTCAACTCCGTCGAGAGCATTCACAGCTCTGTGATACTTTTTATACAATCCAAGTCTCAACTCCCTCTCCTTCTCTATTCGATGTTTTATGTCGCTTATTTGATGTAATCCAAATCCATCAACAGTATCCATCTTTTCAGATGCTTCATCGAGCGCCGGATATATACCCATAATATATATTATTATATCATATAATAGTCTTTAATTGGTCTTGCTTCAGTGTTTTGAGAGTATACATCAGCCTTATTAAATTTATATTATACGGCATAAATATCTTAGTAAGAGAAATGCTGTCACCTTTAATAATTTGGACACCCTCAAGGGTTGCAACGGGTGATTCTCCTACATAAATAATACTACAACATTGACGCTCGTGTTTCTTAAGCCATTTAATTGATAGACCTGGTAATATTTTGAAGGCATCTACCGGTACATCTCAAAACAAGACTTCAATAATAAGCGTAGAAGGATTATGTATTGCACTTAAGTTATCTTTTATATCATTGAATTCAGTAACCAAATCTAAACTAAAACATTTTTGGATGCCGGAAGACTCAATAACATATGACGTGGGTTTTCTGGCAGGGGAGAGACTGACACAATTTTTTCATTTTGAGGGGATATAAGCCGCGAGTACGATCCCACTATTTATTATCTTAGTTAATTGATGTCCCTTACCCATCATCACATACAGTGGGGTAATGATGATATTCAATAGCCACTCGATTTTTTCTTCGATCATAGTCCATTTATTATCATCGTTATCAGATTGTTTGAAGTTTTTTTATTGAGTCCACTAACATTGACATTGCTTAAATCGCCTAGATTACTTGTGAATACAACTTCTTTCCACTTGTATACATTATCTTGTAAGTGTAAAGTGTATAACTTGCCATTAGTACCGGGTTTACCGAATCCTTCTGTGTCTCCAAGATCGGAAAGTGCAATTGTATTACATTGTCTGAGTGTTCCAGGACCTGATGAATCAACCATTATTTACAATATGGAGTGTTACACTCAAGTATCCTATATGTACAGGTTGATGTTTTAAATCTAATACAGAAATTTTGAGATCTGAAATAATACCCCGCTTTAACTTTTAGTAGAGTTATAGCTCTATATAGAGGAATAGCTCTTAGTAGAGTTGAAGGACTTTCGAGGTGAATATTATCCGTTGTACTGATCTGATCAAGATGGATGCACAACTCTTTATAGGGAACTAAATCGGGCAACTTAATTCCAAAACCTAATTCATTACGAACAGTGTTGATGCTGTGTTTACTGGCTATTGTAGACAAGGCTAGGGGCTTATGAGTACGAGAATTCATAAGATCAATATCCGGAGAGCGACGCAGTCGAATATTCCTTTACTATCTATCATAAACTTTGAATAGTCACGACCTATTGGTCTTTCTTTTAAGGCATCGTAATAATCATTTACGGTTGATTGTAAAAGTTCATCGTTAAGATTCATAAAGCTGGTTTTATCAGTACCCTCTTCGATTGTACTAGTATCAGTTAAGTTATCTGGATTAAAATCATCCATTTTTATATTAAACATAAGGTTACATAATTTCAATATAACAATGTCTTCGCAACACGGACGCAAGTTAAACCCACAACGTTGACTTTGGGATCCATTAGGGGTCAAAGCAATTCGTCAGTCTGTAACTATAACTAATAACCCGAGTACCATTGATCAGAATCAAACACTTCTGGTTCTCTTTCCTAATCTCGGCGCACACGATGTGTTAGTTCCGGGAACTGCACAACTATCATTTACAATTAGTTTGAATCCTACTGACGCTAGCAGAGAGCTCGTTCAGAACATAGGTCGTGTGATTGTTAAGAAAATTAGCAGGAATGAAATTTTGAGTATTGACGACAGTGATGTATATTTCTGTTACATGGATCTCTGGAGAACGGCTAAAGAACGGGAAAACTTACAGTACCAAGGTATTTGTAATCAGAACAGACTGCGTGTAGGTGCTGATAGTGGTGATAATACTGTCGTAGGAGATAAGGCTGTTCCTGATGCATTAGTTAACCGATTCTATATTCCGCTAGACTTTGAATTACTAGATAGTCAC